TGTCACTCCCGCGCTATCACTTTCGTTATCACTTTCGTTATCACTCTTGTCTTCCATTGTCTTTCCTGAATTCAGCGACATTTTCAGCCCTGACAACCTTGTTCGATCGTCCCTATTCGACGTCTAGTTTTCCACTCGGAACATTGTTCCCCCATCTTCGTTAAGAGAGCCGTGTGTGCAGTGATTAAATAAAGAATAGATCAGCCAACGTTATCGATTACGAGAAGTCTTTCCTGATTCAAGTATGTCACCCGACTACTAAATTGCACGCTTTTTGACGAGCTATTAGTCGGTACGTTCTGTCCGAGTGTTAGAAAAGATTATCGTGATGGGATTTACTTTTCTTACTTAATTCCGCTTACGTAATTTCCAGTCTAGTTATCGTAACCGCGATAATGCTCGTTTCTCTTTGACGACGTTCTGACGGCGACGTATTTGGGTCGGCAATGTTCTTACACGAAAATATTTCGCACGGGCTTGTCTCTTGCGTAGCTCCCGGAGATATTTTATCTTGCAGCGAATGGATGTTCTTGCAAGTAAAGAAGTAACATGATAAGAATAAAGCGCAGCAATAAAAACTAACTTAACCCTTAAATAACTGTTGTCAGGGGGAGGGAGGGGTGATTGCGGCGTTCGCGAATCTTCGAGAGGACATCAGGTAAAATCGAAGTACGTAGATAAAAATCGGTACAGTCCATCGACAAAATGCGAAAGTCACGTCATTAACCGACCAAGCGCATCGACCTAGTTGCTGCTGTGCCATTAGCAGATAATGACACTTTTTCGAACGAAAGATGGGTCGGCCAGACTTTAGTTCCCGTAGATAGAACGTAATCGATCGTTCCTTACCGACGAGCGGCTCGTATCGAAGAGAATTTTTCTAAAATCAGCCGAAACAAATACTAATGAAGGAAGACTTCGGAAGTATCTTTGGAGCGACTGTAAAAGAGGAATTGTAATCTCTCTTAAGGATCGCTACACGATAATGATCGCTCATTACTAACTTGATCGCATCGTTCGTCGAGCTCCTTCGACGAGATATAACGAAGAATATTTAGCTTACGCAAAAATTTTTGCGTTCCGCATGAAGATATATAGGAAGTTTATATAATAGAAGAAAAATTGATGAAATTCGCAACTTCTTTGCAATAATGATGTTATATAAACCACGTTTTATTTTATGAATCGTCATTGTCAATCGCGCTTGTTGAATATCTTTTATAATCTTGGAAAATGACATTTTCTATTAGCAGGCATATAGCATATACATATATTTAATCATAGAATTTATTTAAGAGTTTAGACATAGCTATATTCTTTAAACACTACACACAAGTGTGTTTAGGGAACACACCATAAACACACTTGAATATTTCATATCCAACTCAATTCGACTATTTATAACTTTCATAAAAATGAACATATTGTAAACAATTTTTTTTTTCAATCAAAAATTGAACCGCCAAATTTTAAGGAACATAATGATACCAAGCAAACATAAATATTTTTATTAACAAAAAAAATTGCAAACATTGTAATAAAAAAAACATTAAAAAAGAGTCGGATATGCCATACTGAAAAGGCATATTTAAAAGATAGTCAACTAACTCCATTTTTCTCACGATAAAAAGAAATCCTTACATTGTTATCAGCGCACTTACAAAAGAAGAATTACTGTCTTCTTAGGAAAGTTAATATTAAAATACAGTAAATTCTTACACAATAGTGACTTACTCTCATTTCAATGGCATTATCAATGGATATGATCGCTGCATTCGCATTTGTAACTCGACACAGCTTATTTCTTCCAAAAGTACCCCGACAGAGACATGCGGCGCATCCCTTCGTGGGCGTTAATATTCTCGATGGGTGGTCCAGCGAGTCAGAAGCGTCGCTTTCGCCGAGAGGGTGGCTGCTAGAAAATATGCGAGATATCGGAGAACCCTCGATCAGTTGCGCCCACCTTCTCCGTGTTATCACCATGACTACCGGACGAAACAAACGGTAGCCGACATGGCTGCTAAGCCTCGGCAGCCTGGCAACCAACCTCTCGCCCTGCGAGAACGAACCCGTCGCTTTGTGCTCCCAGCTGTCAGGACTCTCTCCAGCCGATAGAGGTTTCCATACCTAAACCTATCCACCTACGAACGCGCGCGCGGTTCGGAATCGACTCATTCGCATCTGACACGCGCCAATTTATGCTCAGAATTACAAAGGAAACGTTACATCCTGTGTGTTGCAAGTGAGCCTTTGAGCTTGCGAGTGACGAATGGCAACGCCGTGTCAATGACATAACGATCCCATTTCGCAGATTTCGGTAGCAAACTCAGTTCAGTAAGGTTCAGTTTGGATTGGTGGTGTTAATGATCAGTAGCGGAACGCTTTACCTCTTTCGTATATGTCAAACGAATCGCCGCGTCATCGTCGTATTTTGCATTATATAGCTGTGATTAAACATTATACTAAAAGAAAAATGCTTGATTTGTGACTATAAGCTTTCTGACTATAATTGCATGGTAAAACAATTAGCTCCATTTTTATGATTATTACATTATAACAGTAATAATCATAATGGAAAAAAAATAGAGCTAATTGTTTTCCATGCAATTATAATCACAAAGCTTATAGTCACAAATCAAGCATTTTTCTTTTAGTATAATGTTTAATCACAGCTACAATGCAAAATACAACGATGATTACATTGATTGTGTACATTATACACAAGTATATGTAATTTTCTTAAATATGACAAAATTGTACTAATAAGTTATTATAATTTCAAATATTAATGTAGTGAAATATCAAGAAATAAATGATAAATAAAATAAACAGTTTTATTTAGTAAATGCAATGGCATTTATAGTAAATGTATTTTCTTAAATTCACTTACTATTTATATAATAATAAAAAATATGTTTAAAAAAAACTAAAAATTTTTAAGCAATGTGTGACTATTATTAATAGCACAATTGACGGTATTTCCAATTAAAACTATAAATATACGATTGTCTTAAAAAATGACTATAAATTATAGTTAAATTGTGTGATAATTGCAACCATTTTTTTTATGTGTAAACAATTGTAGGACTTAATTAAAATTCATTTTATATAGAAAAAGATTCAACATTTTGCCATAAATATATATGAACAGAAATCGATATAAAACAATATAATGATGTTTCTTATCAGTGCGTAGTGAGTTAGAATCCAGCGTATAAAGTAAAGATCCTCGGGACGTAGACAGTGACAAATTGCTGCAGAAATAAGAGGGTGAAAGCGGTGGTTAGAAGAACCTTATGGGCCAAAACCGATGTAGCATCAGTATATCAAAGTAAACGAACGAACAAACTATCCTTGTTATTTTTTTTTATTTTGCAACCGCTTCCTCTAGACTCACTCGCTAACTCCCATTATATTCAGCCTCGTTATTGATTCAACAGCCAATTTTTGCTTTATGTGAAAATCTCTCTTTCAACAAAGATATTCGTTTTGACTGTTTTGAGTTACAATTGTTCGAAAAAAAGAGCTTGTTATCGTTTCTGTTAAAAGATAGAATACAACCCGGTGATTATCTTTGTGTGGAGTTATCAATGGGAAGAGATATCTCTGTAAATGCTTCGTGTATGTAACAAAAATCAACTATACACAATAAAAACGCGTGTACTACAGTTAAATGTTCCGGAAGAATTCAACGTCGATGACGTTTACGGACAGTGAATATTAAGCATTATCCGATAAAGAGATTTAGCGATCTTGTGCTGGCGACCAAGGCGAGCATCAGACGAATGCGGTCGATAGCAGGACGTCACTGACGGTTACATTAGTCATGAACGCATTAACTATACAGATAAAAGGAAGACAGCTCGCGACGACCCATCAACTAGAATATGCATGACGCTACGAACCGACAGACCGGAGACCACGCACGGCGAACGAAGGTTAAATCGAATGGTAACGTCAGCCTGCCATCGGGCAGGAAAGAAAGTTTGAAAATTAATTATGCATGCGCGCACGTCGCTACTCGTTGATACCCTGGGCCTCTACGAATTCGCTTCGACGATTGCACTTATCACTATTCTGATTTGCCTGTTGGCGTAAATCCGCACATCTTCAACACACATCCAAGACATTTTCGATTAATTAAATTGTCTTGTCAATTCTACCGACGTTGATCTTCAATTTTTCTACCTTTATATTATATTGGCTGCGTTTAGCAGAGAAAATTGATCACTGAGCGCTCACTGATCCAGTTTTCTCTGCTGAACGCAACCATTTGATTATTTCCAGGGCACGTAGAAATTTAAGCCATAATTAGAAACAATGTAAGCACGCATCCGTTTTGATCGTTCCATTTAAATAATTCCGCGGGCACTATACTCGAAACAGGGTTAAAGCACTTGCGAATACGAGAACAACTTGCGTTTAATAAACTCAATTATCTCGTCGCATGACACAGGTCAAGTTGCTGAGAGTAGAGGAATATCTGCGTCCGCCGCAGATCCTGTTACCTGTCTAAGTAATTAAGCAGTAGTTACGGCGGCATATGTTTCAGCGAAATGCCGCAGTATGCAACAGCCATGAATCAAATGCACAGAAAATTGGAACACGCTCGGAATGTATCGAAGAATCTCCGTTCGCGCTACATTATACTTTAGAGCAGAATGATGTAGTGGAATATCTAACATTACCGTCGGATTAATCGAAGAATATAATTTGATGTTCTCTCTAATTATCTGTTCGTTCAAATTATTAAATAACGAGAATTATTAAAATCATAATTGTTGCAGCCTTTGATGCGTCTTGGATAGAATTGTTATATTGGCACTGGTAGAATGTTAGTGAATATTTGTAATCGCACTTCGCGGTTACTCACGGTTGGTAGTTTGGAAAGCGGCGTTTGTATCGCCGTTAACCGGTGCAAGACGAATGCGTTACTCGATCGTCGAGTGTGACTTTATGCAGCAGAGCATTAAGGACAAACGTTTCGCTGTGTGTTGCAGAGTACTTGATGTCAGGAAGTCCACGGAGTTATCCAGCACGATCCCCGGGGGTCGCTTCCACGCCAACCGTGACCAGGTGAGTTAGTACGCCTCCCCGCGAATTTCGCCAATCCGTATACGCGAATGTGCGGTGTCGTTTTCTCGTGCGACTCGCAAATGTGACACATCCATATTCCAACCGGAATAACATAGCGTAGATTCTCGCAAGGGCTCGAACGAATAAGCGGATTTTTCGCTAGGGGCAGCAAATCGGTCAGCCTTATCGGTTTTACCTGGTGGCTGGGCTTTACGCGACTGAATTAAGCCCTAGCAGCTACAAAGAATCGATGGCCCGCGACTGATTTGTTTTGAAACTGTGAACACATCGTGACGTTCGATGGTTTTCAACCATCATCACACCTCGCAAATTTCATTATCGTTGCGTAAACAACGATTTTACATGGTTAATCATTCGGTGCCACACCATAGGAACAACACATTTGAGTATTACATATCCAAATAAATTGATTGCTTATAGCTTTTATAAAAATGATTACAGAAAGAATGGTTTTATTAAAAGATTTGAAATTTTTTTGGAGATCTGATTTTTCTACAGACTTAAAAATAATTTTATTGAACCAAAATAATCAAAATAATTATGTTGGAAACTAATAAATGTAATGCTGCAAAAAATTTAATATTCCAATTTGAGTTTCCAACAAAATTATTTTCATGATCCAATAAGATTATTTTTAAGTCTATATATCCAGCAAAATTTAAATCTTTCAATAAAATCATTTTTTTCGTAAACATATTGTAAAAAATTATTTTTTCGAGCGTTAGACATTAGAAAACATAATGGTACCAAGTAAATGTATCTTTAATAATAAAATAGTTATATAAGTAATAGAAAAAACTTTGGAAAAACATTGGGAAAAGAAAGCTACTTGTTAGAATGGCACCGAAAGGTAGAAATCAAATAGATAATGCATGATTTTTACAAAAACAAACGTCAAAATTATTGACAAATATTTTCCAAAATTATTTTTAATATTTTTAACATTTGGCATTATATAAACACAAAGTACAAACACACATACTGTACTCGGTAATGGGTTTTATGCGTAAATGAATAAACGAACCGAACACCGTTTTCTCTGTGATCACACTATTAAATCTATAGTGTCAAATTTAACTTAACGTGAGTCGCTGCTGCTTCTACTCAATCATATCATTATTTTAGACTAAAATAATGGTTGTAGTTAGTACTATACAATGTCAAATTTAACTATCGTTTTGATAAAAAAATAACGATATATTTAATAGGAGTAGTGGCGACTCACGTTAGGTTAAATTTGACACTAGATTTAACAGTGCATGGAGAATATCTCCGCTATACAACTCGAGTGCGAAAAGTTTCGAGAATCTAAATCAATCGGTCGGGAAAAGAAGACGGCCGAAAGCGCAGTGGAAAGCGCGATAAGTACAGAGAACTCCGCGACGATCCAACCGATGGGAGGCAGTTGAGAAAGAGCAGGGGAGGTAGAGAAAGAGACACGTCTAAAGATGTTCCAATTCAAATGAGTTGAACTTTTAAAATATTTAGAATGTTGAACAGGCCCCGTCCCGGCATTTCCATTTCGCTCCTCCGTCCCTTCTCGCGCCAGTCGTGCCGGTCGATCGCCGTCGGTGACGCGCACAAAATTTCGAATTAGTTCGCTCTTTATTCTACCTCATTACCGTCCCTCAGCATTCCTCCTACTTTCTTTTCTCAAGCAGCTAATGGCCTACTACGTGCCGCAATTCATATTTCATCGCTTGCACGCGGAATGCTTCTGAGTTACTCCGTCATATATAGCTGATATCTCTCTCTTATTGAGATTTTATTTTGCATAATTTTATAGATACGGAAAATATTCTTATCTGTAATTACATTTTTGAAAAAAGAGTACACGAGCAATTTAGAAATAGTACAGTCGCATTAATTACGTACGTTCTTAGAAAAAATATTATTTCGCGATAGTCCATTATATGTATAAAGATTTGAAAAAAATGTACCTACATCATATACACATAATGATATACACATATGAATAATAAAATGATATGGATATTTTATGAAACATCACTCGAACCTTGGATTATCCAATTTATGTCGCATGCCGGTGTTAAGAGGCTCCCATGGTGAAATTATTAATGCGTTCTGTATCGTGCTTAATTTACTAAACTCTCTCGAATTAGGAATATATCTGTACAGTGTAGCGATTCGAACTAATATCTGTCTCGTGTAGCCTTACATAATATTAATTAACTATTGTAGTAATTAACTATTGTAGTAATTGACATGGGATTCTTACTTCGCATTACGCATTCATAGATAGCCACGCGAGTTCGTCGATCTTTTCTCGAGGATCTTGAACTCGGCTCAAGGATATCGATCTGATTCTATAGTTATGCCGCACGATAGCGTCTCTATTTTGAATCCTACCTATCAGTAAAGTACCCGGGTATAAGACAACATTGTTACCATCATGTAAAGCTCGTTTGTTTGATAATTCAACCTCGGTACGAGGTATACATACAAGACATTCTATTGACATATCATTTCGCGCAATTTGCCGCAGTGATCTACTAACGATAATCACGTGATCTCCTTAATCATAAAGGATACGAAACCATAACGTCGCCTGAACTGATAATAGAAATAGAAAATTCTGAGATACCGTTACTTTTGAACGATAATCGCATCGACCCTTAACACTTTCCCGCAGTTGATTATATACTTTTTTTCTCTCTTCGGGAAAGCGCGCCAGTCTCGGCAAAATGACGAGAAAAGGAAGGGCCATTGGTGTCACCGGAAACAGCAGGTCAGCGAGACGGAAGGTACTCTGTTGCTGAGGCTACGCGACTAAAAGAACACGCGCGGCCCTTGTCCGAGAGAGCGAAGGAGAGTTTCCTCCCCCGTTCCTTTTACTTTTCGTCCGTCCGTTACGCCTTACCCTCGACTTCCTTCTAAAGACTGCTAACGACCGAATCCGCCGAGAGCACTGATCACGGTAGCTCCATGCTCACAGAAAACCACGAACTTTTCCCAGTACAAAATATAGCACTCTTGATATTTTGGGAAAATCAAAAATAAATTCTTTTTTTATAGCTTCTAAATTTATTCGTCCTTTTAACGATTTTAGGAGAACAATTAAAATACACGTACACGTTAACAGATAATTTTATATCCTTAATAGAGAAATGTGTAAAATAATATTTATCAATCTATTGTTCTTAACTTTTCAAAATATAAAAAATTCATATTTCTTTTATAGAAATAATATAGAAATTGTAATGGCTTTTACTTTTTTTCGTTATTTCTGCGACATGATAAAGATTAGGAATGAGATGATGAATTTTATTGTTAATCGAAAAATCTGATAAAAATATTATTGCACTTATATTAAATTATTATTTTTATGAGTTTATCTTTTCCTCTTTTTATGGTACATTACAGACATCAGAAGCTTGATATTGATCTATATACCTATCTCAAAGAAAGTAATACGTTTTTTACTTTTTTCTTAGCCAGATTAAACGGATACAGTCTTTGTCGTATCTCGGATGATACGCGAAAGAAGACAATCGCTTTTCTTTGGTATTTATCGCTTATTAACTATAACAACGAGATTAAAAAAGCAATCGCTACACTTGACCGGCGATAAAGATTTCCTTTTCTGTCTTTTTATTTTTCTTTTGAACGTTCTATCTTATCTTTTCTTGCCTTACAATCTTTCCTATCAGTCTCCAATTATGAAATTTCGATTGAAATGGCGGTCACTGTTAACACTCGCGAAAAATTGGCGCTGCACTGTTAAATTCAAATTTCGCCCAATTTGAATTTTTTTAATCATTTCTATGAATTGCCAATACTCCTATTTATACTCTCCGTTAATTTAACTAAAACAATAGAATTAAACAATTTAACTTGAGAAAATATATTAAATTTGACTCAAATTTAGTTTATTATTTACTAAATACATATATTAAATGTACATTGTTTACGTTGAAAATAACCAAAAATGGATTGATTTACATTTTGACACATTTTGAAATTGAAAATAACACAGATTGTTATTTAACTCAAGTTTGGGTTATCATTGTTTCTTTGATATTCTAACAGTGTGCGTTTTCAAAACGAATTTTGAAATCAATATCAGGTTTATTTTTATGAATCACTGTAATATTATGATTTCTGCAAAAAAATAAGCTATCACGACGTAACATCACAAAAAATATTACAACTCCGCTTGATATATATATATATATAGTATATACACTTTCTATTATTTAAAATAATTACATTTCACACTGTCAATATCAGTTATCTAAAAAACAGTCAATTTATTGAATTGTCATAACATTTTTTGTTTATAAGATGATATCTTTTATATAAAAAAATTATTTAATTTGAAATGTACGGTTTTATCATGTTTCTTCTTTCTATATTAAAAATATTTTAAATTCGTCCATATTTGAAAAGCATATGAAAAAAACACATGAAAAATCTGAAGTCAGTTTCATAAACTAGCCGATATTAAGAGACTAAACAAATACAGCGACATAATAATTTCTTTTTACGGAGCGTAAAGCGCAAAAACTTCGCTGCATTTTCCACGAACTATCAGCAGTGTATTTTACAGCACAAGATGGTAGAATTATGGTGAACGTTGATAAGACCTCAGAAGAAATTTATTGCTCAAAGAGTATCAAAACATGGTGCACTTCCTTTCATTTTTTTTTTTATCTATCCTTCCAACTGTGGCCTGATTTTCTATGATATTGATTTTCTTATACCTTTTGTTGTTCGTTTAATAATCAAAGTAATTGCTATTATTTTCTGAATAGATGTTAGACTAGATGTAAATAACAGAAAAAATAGAGAAGTACATCTCAATCCGAACAAGTTCACAGGTAAAGCAGGTCGACACCCAAGTGCGCTTCGTTTAACTCTGTATTACGTTCCTTAATTCTCCGGGTTGCTTCTGCACTGTGAAAAGTAAGTTGTTTACCATGCATCCTTTCCCTATATACCCAGCCGCTCGGCGCAGC